AAGAGTAATAGCATAGACCGTGGGTCTTTTGTCTTTAATACACAAATCTGAATCTGAAAACTTCTCCGCGTTTGCGTTTTGTTGACAACTCGACAAAGAGGTCGGAATATTCGCCGAATAAGCCATCATCAGTTTCACTAATTATTGATCAGATCTATCAAACTGACTCTTACTTCGATCTGCATTTGATTTTTGGGATGTGATTCTTTTTTATGGAAATATATTATCCACAAATCCTTTAGGATCAGAACATTCACTGTTAGGAATAACTGTGATAAAGCACCTAAAATAATATCACTCTGTATTTTTGGACCCAAGATAAATGTTAAACCCTCTTATGATGTACTCACTAAAAAGTTTTGTTAATATCCACTCTGCGAGTCAATTTTATGACTTATAAGCTCTTACAACGAAAACCCTTGCTTGTGTTTTTGTGATCTAAATTGATCTAAATTACAATAAATAGACATATTGATAAGAAATATAAGAAAATAACCGAATGCACCACAAAATAAGTGTTATTCTATTCTTTCTGGATAGATCAAGTAATTGTTTGTTGCTTTATAATACAAAGTGTTTCCGATTCTCGGAAAGTGCTCAAATTCACAACCAAAATGCACGATCTCAGTCAAATCAAGCAACACAATCGAAGGGGGAACGATCAATATGGCTGCCGTCAAGATAAAATATCAATTAAAACAACATAGATACGGTCCAGAAACAAAAATAGAAACTCAGTGGAAGCGACAAAGAAATGAGAAAACTATTATGAAATGTAACATTACAATCTTAAATGGCATCAAAAAGACTAACAATAACGTGCGAATAAAGAACCCATTAAGGACAAGTTGCAAATATATGCATGGAGAGATTTTCACACACGAAACCTTCAAAATGGATCTTAAACATGGTCCACTGTGTAGCAGTTTAGTGCATCTGTTAGCGGGGATATATGAATTTATTATTATTAATGGCTTTATTCAATATTATAATCTGCTACAATATAGAACTCTCAGCACGAGTTATTTCAACAAGTTTTTTTTACCAAAAAAAATAAAACCCACGAAAAACAAAAAAAAACAGAAAAGGAATGAAAAAGGATTAAGAAAAAATCTGAGTTTATACAAATTATCAAATTCAAAACATGCTTAAGAAAACAGGTTATTTACTAGGTCAACTCTAACAGCCTGTTCGTCACAAAGTAAATTTGCTAAGTAAGGTATTACAGAACTTGTATAGACTTGCTTGCGTGTATGGATTTTAATGTATTTACGTCTCGTTCTACCAGAAGATATACAAGGAGAAAGATATGAATGAAGCGGATGGTTAGTATCTGATAAGATAACACCTGCCAAGAGTTTGCAAGACTTAAGATGTCTATCCACAAGCATATTAATAATGACTTCAAAAGACTCACCACATACCTTGCAGACCGCTTTCAGCACTCTTAACAAAACAGCAAAGTCTTTTCTCAAAAGCCCGGGAAGGAATAATGGAGAACAATATAGAATAATAGGTAATATGCAGGAATTTACAAATTGTAAGAGTAAATGGCGAGTAATCCCAAAAGCATGCAGCCTCTTTATGTAGTATGTCAAACGGTAAACTTTTATCGATAACAGTAAAACATGAGAAGACCAAGAAAGATCAGAGGAAATATGACACCAAGATATTTGACCTTCGACACTGTGTTTATTAAGGAGTCTCCAATGGCACAAGCATTATGGGATCCCAAAATAAAGTGTAGGTTCTGTCCATGTCTGAAGCTAAAATTAACAGCTTGACATTTAGATGGATTGAGTAAGAGACCATTGCCAACAGACCACCTTTCAATAAGAGATAAAAACTCGTTTATTTCTATAGGATGTAAGGAGGTAGAAATCGGCATACATACAGTGAGATCGTCCGCATATTTTACAAAAGTGTTTTCTGTGGAAGATGGCAGATCATGCAGAAAAAAAGTGAAGAGCAAGGGTGAAAGAACAGCTCCTTGTGGCACACCTACAGTAGGCAGTAGAGATGTTGAACACTTTCCTTCAAATACAGTGTACTATTCTCTTCCAGAAAGGTAGGAACATAGCCAATTGGTTATCCAGCTGTCAGTGTCGACGCTGATCAGCTTGTTAAGTAAGAGGTGTCTTGGAATAGAATCAAAAGCAGAAGTAAAGTCCAAGAAAGCGCATCTAACATACTTCTTACCCTTTTCCAACCCGAACACTATATTGTGATGCAGAACAGCAACGGCATCTAATAGGCTTCTTTTGCATTTGTAAGCAAACTGATATGGATCACAGTGCTCTTTTATTGCAGGTTGAGGTGGTTGTATCAGTAATTTTTCCATTATTTTAGGGAAAGGTGAAGTTATTGCAATGGGTCTAAGTTTCGCATTTTTATCACCAGGGTAATCAAGTCCCCATCTCCTTCCTAATAAATTTGCAACCCACTACGTGATCTAGGCACTGTTGAATGATCTCGCCCCAGTATATTAAGTGTAGAATATGCTTTACTTTCAAATGGCTCATAATTGCATTTCATTAATTGCATTTAACGAACCTGTTAGTTTATTCCATTTTATTTGGTTTTTGAGAAATGCTTGTCTATCAGTAAATAGTAAGGCGATCGTCCACTGTTGTTATTTGGGAGTGGTAACTTGTCCTAAGTTCTTCTTTCATTCTTAATGGTCTTGAATGTTTTAGACTTTGAACCACAGTACATCTCAGTATATCCCAACAGAGGAAGAAAATCAATTATCTACAAAGGAGTAAAATATGTAAATAATAACCGTATCACTTACATGATGTGATCAGTCACCCGTAAACGATTAGAAGTCATTATAATGAAGTTCGTTATCATTTATTTTGATGGTAAGCTGGGTGTCAACTAGATTGGCCAACTGAACCGATTGATACTTACCCATTCATACCAAAAGCAGATTTTACCGAGTATGTTCATACAAGTGGTCTAATAGGTCCACCGTTTTCCAAATCAACTATTGATTATTCTTTGTCAGTGTCAAAGCAAAGGACAGAGTATTCTGGAAATCAAAAGTTACAATGTTGTTTACAAGTGTCGTAAGTTCATATGTTTGTCCGTAAGCGATCACTTAAAGGCAATTTTTGTCCTGTACGAGCAGCTGTGGCCTACAGTTGCCCACAGTAAGATAACATTATGATATTGTGTCCAGATTTCGCTCGCAAACTACAAGTAATCAGCCCGAATAAATTGGACCAGTAAACATTAGAAATTGTCCTTGAGTTCAAAAACCTGCCCACTACTCTGGCGGGTTTTTAAATGGGTCGGTTTTGCGCCTTGGTTGACGTATCGTAGTAAACCTTCCACACAATATAATGGCAACCCATTGTGCATAAGTTTTTGACAATACCATTGAGCAAGAGAAATCAGTTTGCGTTAATTCTATTACGATACTAGACACCAAACTTTTCTAAGATTATTAAACATCAATTATAGGGTTTAATATAGAAAAGGACAGGGCACAGAAAATAAATTTTGGAAGGTGGATGACTAGAGGTTGACTGGGACCCAGGCCGTTCACTTTACCTGTTCTTACAATCTCATTTACTTCAAGAAAACGTAAATATGTTTGCATATATATATATATATATATATATATATGCATTTGTCGCATTTGATCACTTGTCTTAACAATTAGTTCGTGATTTATAATAGTTGTTAACCTAACTAAGAGTTGTGAGATTCGAGTCAGAGCTTCTGGATTGTGTATTTCGCATGTTTTTCAGACCATATTATTTCTGGGGTCCTATCTTTATTTATTGTTTATCGGGTTGATTGACTTAAGTGCTTTGCATTCTCACGTGTCGCCTATGGATGGTATAAGTTAATGGTCGCTGTATAGTATGCATGTCTGCTTTACTGATACTACTTCAATATGATATATTACGTCCTGTTTCTGCTACATATGTCTAGTACCTACAGTCTATTTCATACCATCTAACTTTGTCTCAGTGCTTGTTTTGAGTGATTAGCCATATCGGTGTATGTATGTTGTGTGACCTTTTAAATTATCATTATTATTATCATTTCCGCGTATTAGTTATATAATTCATTTTCCTAGTCATTCTGCGGGTCGTTGGTACTCAGTATTCGAATTCTCATCTTAATTACTTACCAGATCTTCCACAACCATTCTGGTGGTACGAATTGTACATTAAAGTTTTGTGATAACTGTACGAAAGGTAATTGTTTAATTTGTACGTTATAGCTGACTGACTGACTGAATTATCCTGATCATTCCAGATTGCGTAATTGACAATTGTGTATTATGCAAACCATGATGATGTAGTTGTCACAGTGTTATGGGAACAGAAAGTAATTAGATAGGCAGAAATAATTGACAAATTTTTTCATTTTGTGTCTAGTTTTAGTAGGTATTTCAAACAGAAAGCTAGCACAATTAAATTTATCGTAGAAATTTATTCACACCCGGATGATAATCTACGAGTATAGTCAGTCTATTCAGTAATCTGTATAAAGCCAGCAGAACTTACGCTATAAAAAATGTGCTAGCTGTGACCGCCAATTCGAAAACTGAGTTATAGCTCCAGTAGAGTTCAAAGATTTCCTGCACGTTTAGCCATTTTGATGGTTTAGAGTATAGACTTCTTGACGCTGTTCTGTCGTAAGTAATGAGTCTTTAAGCTCAATACACACAGTACTATTTAGTGATTTGAAATCTGACAAATCAGATCAACCCAGCATATATGTCCAGTGTATCAATTTATTTCAACGAATATTCATATCTTCAAATTTACTGCCTGCAGAAGTAGTGTTTATGAAACCGATTATAAATTAGTTAAGTGTACTACTAAAAAGACCATTACATATTTTCGGTTGTTGAAAATTTTGAAGCATATTATTGAAGTCAAGTCCTAAATTATTTCAGCTTCTTATTTGTTCTTGATTTTAGTTTCAACCGGAAAATGTTGAGCTTCTGGATCTGTTTTGCGTTTATCTAACTTGGGATGCCGGGTAACCTTGGGAATTTCGAAGTGATAGAGCTGTCAATGCTGAAAAAGCATATGTTTTTTCCTCTATCTGGTTTGGGGAATTTTACTGCCCAGACTCTATTATATCCATTTGTTTTGCTTCGTACGAGACTCCAACTTCAGGAAGGTGCTCAGGTTTATCGTGGTCTTGTACATGCAATTTCTTCTGTTGTCAAGGAAGAGGGTTTTCGAGGATTGTATAGTGGCTACTTCGTTCGATCATTTCACATATTCTCAGGTGGGTTGCTTCTTTCTGTTTTATAGGCTTTAGTTCTGGTCTCGAACGGTCTTTTACATACATAGGTGGACTGCTTTACTTTAATTTTTATAAATAGACACTTAAACAGTATCAACTTTCATGTATATCCGTCTAAGAAAAATATGATTCCATCGTCCTAAATACATAAATATCCGATGAAAAAGATAGTATTTAAAAGTTTCATGTCAGTTGTAGAAGTCTGCTTTAGTCAGACAGTTAGTCATAATCAACATAGAACCTAGTACCAATGTGTATTGGTTGTCATAGCAAAAAGGTTAGGCGTGGAGAATAGGATTTGGAAAGAGGGAACAAATGTGCTAAATGAAAGGTCAAAGATAATTTCGAAACTTGGGATCTAGGTGTTAACAAAAAATGAATGATTTTGTCACGTTGCGACCGATTTTAAGTAATATCTAACATCTTCAACCGTTAGTCACAATAATCGCGCGGGGCCCAACCAGATAATCATCATTTAATAACATGGCTCGGACCAACAGTCAATAACTTCATGCCACATCTTTGTTTAGTTGCCACTTCTTTATTTATCTATTTGAACACAAACATTGGTACAAGAGGGCACCAAACATATGCGCCACACAATAACAATGAGGCCTTATTAGTACTGAACGTTATGGCTACATCATTTAGTTGAAAAATGTCGTAATTTACCGAAGTTTTTTGAGATTTTCTCCTCCAGTCAGTCATACGCCACTTATGAACTAACATGTATGTGTATCGGCTCAAGTTGCCATAACATAGCATGATGAGATAAAGTTAGCAAGACAAGTCGCAGAGTAGTAAAATTAGTAGCATTATCAGTAGTAGTAGAAAAGGCTGGGTATAGAAAAAGTGGTTTTTTCTCTGATACTGGTTTGTGGGAGTATTCAAATTATTGTGTGATGAATTTTCGTTTTTTCCTTTAGTCTTAAAATGTATTTTTCTTCTTAACTAGGTACCATTTACGTTTCCACATATGAAGTAGCCAGACAAGCATGTACAGTCTTTCCAACACTAAGTCCTATTCACCGATCTTTTGTTGGTGGTGCAGTGGCTTCATGTGTTGCTCAAGGTTTTTTTGTTCCTATTGATGTTGTGTCTCAACATTTAATGGTTGTGAATTGTAATCGTATTCATACAAATGTGGTTTACAAAAATTCGAATCTATCATCTAACCCACACCGTTTTCGTCCATTAACTCCGGTTCATTTAACAGAAAATGAAATGAATTCCAATTGGGGTCGTCTTTGTGGCGTAATTCGTTATATCAAACAAACTCACGGGCTAAAAGGTTTCTACAAAGGTTGTCTGGTATCTATGTGCACTTTCGTACCTAGTTCGGCATTGTGGTGGTCTTTTTATGATAAATTTTGTGGTAAGTTGTTTATAGTTGTTATTCAAACCATTACTATTATTCCTAATTGACCGATAGTAGCTCATGTACTGGCGCAGTAATAGTGCTCGATTATCTTGACAACCCAGTTGAGCTATACAACCTGTATCATATATTCTCTACGATTCTACTATACCAACCGGGTTTACTGGAAATCGGTAAGGCCTGATGAGACTTCTATAATAAGAAAAGTAGTCAGTGCACCGATGCATATATGTGCCTGGTCCTACGTTGTAGCTGACTGATTCAATGCGCTTAATCTCTTCATTCCCAACGGTTAAACTAGATTCCAACACAGATCAATTATGAAGTAATGGGGAGGGGAAACATACTTCAAGTATGACTACGTTGTCCTTTAGGTTGTTCAAGAAGTTGCGTTTTTTCAACGTCTTTAATTCAGTGTTATCTTCATACTCTGGTTTGTTCGGGGCATCTTGAAGTAAGAATCTAACCCTTGAAAAGTGGAACTATGAAGTTATCATTTCCAGAAATGTATCTGATAAAGTTGAGTAACATCAGAAAAGTGGAAAGCCCTGACAACCACTACTTGATATAACCAATTATTATGACAATTTACCATATGCTGTGGCACAACCGATGATTTTCAGTGAAAAAAACCTACATAAGTCAACGTACTTCTTCGGTCCGTTTTTTAATTACGGACGTCTCAATAAAACCTGTTGACCAACAGTGTCAAGGGCAGCTCTCAAGCCAAGAAATATAAATATCGTCAGGCGGCGGTGAGTATATTCATATTCCAAAACCTGACGAGTAGTGAATACTTGATCGATACACCCAAGTGTGAAACCTGTTTACTTTTCTCACAGTCTTTTTTCTTGAGCTCCTAAATTATTAAATACTCAGAAACTCATCCTAAGGAACTCTGAATAGTATAAAAAGTGTAAGAGACTAGAGTAAAAGTGGTAAAGTTTGACCCCACAAGTATTTTATGTATGTATGTTCAAAGCATACCATATACTGCCAACTGAAGTATCTATTTGATACGCAATAGTTTTCATTTCTTTGAAGCTATGTAAAGGGCTTTCTTATATTTCTGAATATTGTTTTTGTTTGTATGCATGTAAGCTTATTTAATATTCTTTGAAGTATTACTTACTTACTTACTTACGCCTGTTACTCTCAATGGAGCTAAAAAACGCTAACCAGAAAAAAATCATTCATTCTTTGAAGTATAGCGTTGTTTATTACATACGGAACCATCAGTGCTTTTTCGTTGTAAATATCATTAATAGGATTTCTGTCTGTATGTGCTAACAAATGCCCTGGTACGGCCGAGAGTGGGGAGAGTTAGCTCTCTCTCAAAATGCTATCAAATGGCCACGTGCATACAACCACTACCAGGGAAGTCCTACTCACTGCCGTCCCATGGTGGAGGTGTTATTTACGAAATTGAGAGGATGAAAAGCGAATGTCCGACGCTTTAACTGGGTTGGTAGACACGGAGAGGAGTTGGAAAATCTTGATTCCAAACCAATGGTGTACATGGGCTCCAGGATCCTGAAGGAACAAATGGTGTATGAATTAATTACTGGTCACCTGCTACCATGGGACTGCATCTCCCGACGTTACTTCATTTTCATGTGGATTAGACCTCTAGATCAAAGGCTCGGGTGTGGCTCCCTAAGAAAACCACCTACCTCGGTTTGGGCACCCGAGCATTATCCCAGCTCTCATACAAGTTGAATGATTTATGTGGCGCATATATGTTTGGTGCCTCCTTGTACCAATGTTTATGTTTAAATAAATAAATAAAACTATTCTAATGATAAGAACGACAGATAAAACTTATCATTTTTTATCCATCTAAAAATTCAGAAGTCGGGCTCCCTGAACACTGAGCTTGTTTAAAAATAATTGTCTGCTTCACTCCTCTCACTTAAGCATTTAAGCTCAAATGTATCGATCAACGTTTCCAATCTTATTCACGAATTAGTATAGTATTCTTCATTCTCATCATATTTACTATTTCGCCCGAATCGGGATTGCCGATGATTTATTTGGGATTGTGAGTAATATTTTTCAAAAGTTAACGATATTTGATAACGGTATAATTTAAACCCTTACTGAAAATGGGGTAAGTAATATACCTGTTGAACAAGTTAGTGGCCAGCTCGACTCAGTATCTCAGTGGAAAGAGCTTTGGGTGTTTAAAACAAATATTACCGCGTTTAAATCCCTATGTGAACATTAAAACTGGGATGCTGGTATGTTGGACTGACAAATTCCAAATGGAAGAAAATAAACTTCTGGATTCTAATGTTAACCAGAATTCATCTATTCTATTAAAAATGTTTGATATACCTTGACTTAACATAATCAAGCCAAAGGTTATAAGAGAGACTGTCAGTAATAAACTGACAACAAATAAAAATTAGTAAATTGTAAAACAGTAGTTAGTGGGTTAATAGGAAGCTTATAATGAAAAGTATATATATAATCAATCATGATTCAAAGAAACCATTTTTTACTTTTATCGTATTTGTTCTTTTCCAACACTTTTCAATTAATCCTCTTTTACACGAATATATATTTTTCCCTCTTTATTAGGTCTAATTCATTTTATTTCAAAGAAAATGTGTAAGGAACATGTTCAGGACTCGGTATTGTTGCCATCAAACGATGATTCTGCTCCAGTTCCTAGATTATTGATTCAGTTGATTTCGGCTCCTCTAGCTGGCATTTCATCAGCTATCATTGTTAATCCTCTTGATGTTGTTCGTGTACGAATGCAGGTGAGTTTGTTTTCATCTCATAGTACAGTTTTTCACGTTATATAAATCATTTTTTGGACTAAATTGTCTTTAAATTCTGAAGAAAATATTTTCAGTTTTTTTACTTTTCATTTTTATCCTATCTTCTTTATGATGTGATCAGATACTAAATTATTGTATCTGATTGCGCATCAAATATATTTTTACTATTTCGCGAGAGAATATTTGATTTTTGTTAGTGTATGCAGTCGTCCATGTCTGTCACTGATATGCATGCTTCCTGTACACTATCTAAGCCACATTTTCAACCGAAAGTGTTTGTATTATTCCACCGAATATTGGCCTTTGACTGCCCCAACATATCACCTTTTTCTTCTGAGAAATAGGTCTAGATTGTTGGATTTGGCAGAAAAAAATGAGGTGGGAGTGGGGTGAGGACAGGATACATCAGTTTAACTTTTATGAGTTCCTACCTATTAAAAATTCGTACGTTTATTGGTGGTTTTCATGATAAATCAGCGTTATTCGCCATGTGACATTGAAAAAGATATGAAGTGCTTGCTGTGTAGTTTATTAGTCCTTATGTTATATATATGGATTCCTTAATAATGTAACAAAGTCAAGCTTATGGAATACTAACTGTTTTCTAATTACAATTGGACTATAGTGCAGGGGCTGGTGTTTCATGTGTAAAAATAAAGTATCTTTTAATAGATGGAATTACTGATTTAAAAGACAATGGTTCTATCAAATGCTCTATTTATTGTAAACCTACATGAACTGGATAGATTCAACGGTTGCTATCCATTTAATCTAATACAAACAAGATTTGATAAATGGTTTATTTAACGGGACCAATCATTATTTGCATAAAAGATGCTACGCTTTTATAATCAAAAACTATGTTTACATCCCTAACATTTAGAAGTGAATAAAACAGTTTCATAGTCAAACAAGGACTTGAATCAGCGATCCGTGGGACTTATTACACAGTTAAGGTCATCGTAGTTGAAATAACGAAGTCTATTTTATGTCAGAAACCCAAATAAAGTATAAACAGTTGAGTTACATCTCATTTTGTTTATGAGTTTGCGTATACTTGTATGTATGAACACATAAGAGGAGTTAGTCATGATGCACAAGTAAAGTTGGGTGAAGATAGTCAAGTATTCATCCTAGACCATGGGTTTAATCTAAACCCGCCCTTCGTACTTTTGTATAAGGCGAATATTTGAATGTATTGAATGATCAGCCATGCGAAAATTTATAACACTATTATGTACTGAAAAAATCAGTTTTTATTTAACCTAAGCCTATCTTAACGCTGTTGGCTTTCGTATATCGTGAGTACTGTAATTAACTTTTTTTTTCCTTGATTATATGCTTCCATTTTTCCAGGTTGATCTGTCTGATTCACGTATACGTATACTAAGAGATTAATGTATGATTAGACTGTTTAAAATGTTATTACATTCCTATATCATATAGTCCTTATAACAGATCTGATGAATTTATCGAAAAGACAACTAGTTTTAATTAATATACTAAGTATTCATCATTAATATTATTAGATTGGGAAGACGAAAAGCGAATGTCCGGCGCTTTAACTGGGTTGGTGGACACGGATAGTTCACCTAGAGTAGATAGAAAACCCTGATTCCAAACCAATGGTGCACATGGGCTCCAGTATCCTGAGGGAACAAATGGCGTATGAGTCAATCGTCGGTCACTGGCTACCATGGGACTGCATCTTCTCACGATGCTCCACTGTCCTGTGGATCAAACCTTTAGGTCAAAAGCTCCGTATGTGGCCCCCTAAGAAAACCACCAGCTTCAGTTTGGGCACCTGGACAGTATCACAACCCTCACAAAAATCAAGTGAAATTTGTGTGGCGCATATGTATTCGGTGCCTCTTTGTACCAATATCTATGTGTTTAAATAAATAAAATAAAAGATTACTTTGGATAAATAAATTATTAAATCAGAAATTTTCATTGATTTATATTTTTCTTAATAGTTTGAGCATTTTGAAATCTCTCTTATGATTAACAATCTTTAGTGATAGAATATAATTTCATTGTATAAACTCTCTTTTTTTTAAACTCTTTCTTTTAACTACAACAGTCAGTTGCCATATTTTCCTGCTTCGGTTTGGGCACTCAGGCAGTATCACAGCCGTCACACAAATCAAATGAGATTTGTGTGACCGCATATGTATCTGGTGCCCCTTTGTACCAATATTTATGTTTAAATAACTAAATAAATAAACATATCAAAAATGAATATAAATGACTAATTTTCATTTATCCAATTTGTTACGAATGTTTTAAATAATGTCCCGAAGTGTAATACACAATACATTAAATTCATTGAATTTCTACATTTAATTCTTTGAATTGAAGTACCTAAATAAAATCAGCTTGTTACGTTTTTATCTAATTAAAGTACAATTATCAGAAGGGATATTGTGGAAATTTAGTATTTTCATAGTTGAAAGCGTGAGTCAATGGAAGCTAGACCACTATGGAAAACCTGGAAGCACTGGAAGGCCGTTTCGTTCTATTATGGGACTCCTCAGCAGTGCACATCCACGATCCCGCTTTTGCGAGATTCGAACCTAGGACCTACCATTCTCGCACCAGAGCACTCAACCGATAGACCACTGAGCCGGTATCCTACGGTCTTAATGTGCTCTGGCGCGAGACTAGTAGGTCCTAGGTTCGAATCTCGCGAGTGTGGGATCGTGGATGCGCACTGCTGAGGAGTCCCATAATAGGACGAAACGGCCGTCCAGTGCTTCCAGGTTTTCAATGGTTGTCTGGCTTCAATTGACTCACGCTTTTAACTATAAAGTGCAATTTGAAAATATCTAATATGGAAGTTAGTTTTTTTTTAAATGGATCTTTGTGTTCATCTACTGTTGTGTTTAATGAATTTTAAAGTTTCCAATATTATCGTTATTATTATTATTATTATTATTATTATTATTATCTTTCATCTTTAAAAAAAACTACTCAGGTTTCGCATATACCATTCAAACAAAGTGTTATTCATTTATGGCAATTTGAAGGAATACGTTGGTTTTCCAAAGGTTTATCCGCTCGTCTTATTCAAACAACATTTCATTCATTTTGGGTTGTTTTAGTTTATGAACCTATGAAATTATTTTGTTTAAAAGATGATTATCGGAATAAATTTTCCAATGTATAGAGAGATAGATTAAAAGAAAATGATTGCGTTTTTTTTTGGTGATTTACGTAATATTTGATTGTTTATCAATCTAGCGTTTTGGCTACTACTACTGCTACTACTACTACTACTACTACTACTACTATTACTACTACTAACACATTACATGTATATAAATGTTTCCAATTTGTATATTGTTTTTCATGTAGTTTATTTTTTGATAAACCTATTTTGATTGTGATATATATATGTACATAGTTGATAAGTACGTCATTTATCTTCGCCCATAGTTTTGTCTACTGGGCATCGACAACTACATTGTTTTTGTTAAATTCTAACAGTAAGCTGTTAGAATCCTATTCACTCTATGTACAATAAAGACAATTTGCACCTAAATTAATTTTCAATCAATAATGAAGTAATTACAGTGGAATGAAATAGTTATCTTTACTACTTTGCAGTGTCAAGCCACCTAGAGTAGTGGCCATATTGCAACTTGATCGATAGCATTCGATCAGCACTAAAAAGGACTTGACACGCATGACATTGATCACCACCCAGTGATCATTCAATTGTGACTAATTTTCTTCATTTTTATATGAGATTAAATGTCAGAGCAAAAGATTTCTGACTAACAAAATGAAAGAAGTATTGTGTTAGTTGGATTTCCCATACCCGTTAGGTGTAATAGAGTTCATTTAATTAAGAATTTGTGAGCAATAACTCTATATCTTTTTAACATGATAGATGATGATTTGTGCAGTTTTGTTCTCTTAGCTAATCGTTTAGTCGCAGAGCTTTCATTGTTCTTCTGAACAACATCATCAGCACAAATTCGGGGTGAAAAAAAGTATTCGGATTTCTCCACATATGACTCTCAGCTTGTCCTGTCGACCTCGATCTTGATTGATTGTTGTTGACTTTTAACCTGTCATCGTCTGTCTGTTTATTTTGATTGTATTCCCTTTTATCTGATTATTGGTCCTATATTTGTCCATAGTTTTTCTGATTGGTTGGTAAATTGGATAGATTTCGATGTTTTCGTTGGTTGTTGATTGAACTAAGTACTAAGCTTCTAAAAATTCTCTGCTGTTCTTAGTATTCCCACTATTCAGGATCACAACACTTTTCCGGTCGAATATGTATCCACAGTTGTCCACATGAATTGATATAAGCGAAAACATATCATGGCGTTTGACCGCTAATTGATGTTCATGCAGGCGAAGATAAAGGGGACGTCCACTTTGTCCGACATAGTGTTTTTCGCAATTAGAACAGTTTACTTTGTAGATGTTTGGTTTTTCTTTGGTCATTGCGTCCTTTGGCCTGGATAGGATTGATTGGAGTTTTTTTCGGTTTGTATGCTACACCTTTTCCATACAGCTTCAATAATCTCGTAATTTCTGACATTTCATTTATATATGGTATGATGATCCGTTTGCTGACTTTTATATTTGATTTCGTTACTGCTAATGTGTTGCGTTGATATTTTTCAATGAACTGCGTGTGTATCCGTCGTTTTGAAGGATGGTCATTATATATTTTCCTTCATTTTTCCGCGCTGCAAGTGTATTGCAATGTGTTTTCGCCCTCTTGAGTAGTTTGTACGCAGTTAATTTTGTGAGTTCTTGGGTTTTTGCTGCCCTAGTTGAGGATTTGATCTGTGTGGGTTGGCCTCTCTAGTTCTTCTATGTCGGCTCTGGTGATCAATACATACAATAATGATAGGTCGCTGTCCAACTTGTTTTCCACTGTGAATCTTATGTCATTGAAGATGTTGGGGATCAGATTGTAGGCGTTTTCTAGCTCTTCCTTTTTGATCATGACGAATCTGTCGTCCACATAATGCACCCACATTTTTGTTTCGGTCACCAGTAAAATCACCACTTCCAGTCTCTGCATCATCGCTTCTGCAATAAGGTCATTGAAGCCTACTGTTGAGTAGTCCCATACTAGAGCCATATACAGCTTTCCAATCCTTCCTGGTTTCCATCAGTTACATAACGAAAATCATTTCATGCTGTGAAGTATAAAGTTTAGCCATTTTCAAAAACCTTTTACATCCACATACACCACATATTTATATGCCTCCAAATGCCCTGGTACGGCCGAGAGTGGGAAGAGTCTGCTCTCCCTCTCAAATGGACACGTGCATACAACCACTACCAGGGAAGTCCTACTCACTGCCTTCTCGTGGCGGGGGTGTTGTTTACGAAATTGAGAGGACGAAAAGAGAACGTCCGACGCTTTAACCGGGTTGGTAGATACAGAGGGTCCACCTAGGGGAGTTGGAAAACCCTGATTCCAAACCAATGGTGTAAATAGACTCCAGGATCCTAGAGGAAAAAATGGTGTATGAACCAATTACTGGTCACCGGCTACCATGGGACTGCATCTCCTGACGTTGCTCCTTTGCCTTGTGGACTAGAACTTTAGGTCAAAGGCTCTGAATGTGGTCCCCAGGGAAACCTCCTGCTTCAGTCTGGGCACACGGACAGCATCCCAGCCCTCACATGAATCAGATGATTTATATGGCACATATCTATTTGGTGCTTCCTTGTACCAATGTGTGTAAATAAATAGTACGTTTCTGATTGAACTATACTCTTGTTAGTTTCCTCGTTAACAATTATTGGATACAAGTTATCCGTCCAAGCATTATCGGATAGTCTATTTTGAATGATCTAATGGTACGGTGTATAGACATTATACAAAAACATACTTGTATCAAGAAATCTCTAAACTTTTACTGCAGAAACATAAGCATAAAGATAGTTTTTTTTCAAACCATATATAAATTTGACATTTTCAAATCCATAGTGTCATTATTACTACTATCAACTCTACTATGACTATTAGTTATTCCAATGAATCACTCATATTTTATTTTATTATCTTGTTCCGTTTTCTTATTCGGCTTTCAAATCTATTCCTCAGTTGTATGCCATCAACAGCTTAGTTTGTATCAGAACTAATCTGTTTAATTTCTCATCCTAAGAAGAAAAAAATTAAACTGATCAAAGTGTTGTCTGATTAAGATCCAGAGGAAGTATGATAGTGTATGTACTATTAGATTGAACTGTTTATGATTAATAAAGAATTTATTAAAAACAAATTCTTTTACATAGGAGTTTATTTATTTATTTATACACATAAATATTGGTACAAACGGGTACCAGATACATATGCGCCTTACAAATCAAATGAGATTTGTGTGAGGGCTGTGATACTGCCTAGGTGCCCAAACTGAAGCAGATGGTTTTCTTAGGGGGCCACACCCGGAGCCTTTGAACTAAAGGTCTGATTCAAAAGGCAGTGGAGCATTGTGAGGCGATGCATTCCCGTGGTAGCCAGTGACCGACGATTGATCCATTCGTTCCCTCAGGATACTGGAACCCATGTGCACCATTGCTCTGGAATGAGGGTTTTCCAACTTCCCCAGGTGAACTTTCAGTGTCCACCAACTCGGTTAGAGCACCGGTCATTCGCTTTTCGTCCCCTCAATTTCGTAAACAACAGTAATGCTACGAGAAGGCAGTGAGTAGGACTTCCCTGTCAGAGGCTATATACGCGTGGCGATGTGAGAGCATTTGGAGAGGGAGAGCGGACTCTCCCCACTCTTGGCCGTACCAGGGCATTTGGGGGCTTTACATCCGAGTTCATTTTAAAAAATAATGAAGATCGATTAAAAATGATTGTTGAAAATATTGAAGCAGTGCAATAAATTTTTCTAGAAGGTCCTCATGTTATTACATAATAATGTATTGATTTATCATTATTACATAATAAGGTTACTTACTTACTTACTTTCGCCTGTTACTCCCAATGGAGCATAGGCCGCCGACCAGCTTTCTCCAACCCACTCTGTCCTGGGCTTCCTTTTCTAGTTCTACCCAGTTCTTGTTCATTATTCTCATGTCTGTCTCAATTTATCGGCGTAATGTGTTCTCTGGTCTTCCTCCTCTCCTTTGACCTTCAGGATTCCATGTGATTCCATGTGCATACGTTTTTGATTCGACTTCCTTTTAATCCCATTCTTCTGACTGTGTAGATTATTTCGAAGGATAATTTCTTTGAAGTAACGTGCACAGAGTTGATTAGGTGCTGATCTATTGAGCTACTGATTGTTTTGGATTCCATTTTTAAAAGCTGTATGGATAAATGTTCTGCGATGTATTTAGAAAGTGTCTGATTTGCGTGGCTAATGAAACTTACCACACAAGAGCAGGTAAAATTGAAGGTATCAACATCAAGGATCGACTTGATACTTTCAAATAAACATGGAATAGAAAGTTGATAATGATATATTTGTGATATCCGAATGAGTGGAAACTTGGATTTCTCATGTTACATGACTTTATGTAAGCCACTTTTTATAGTGAATAAATAACCAAATTAAATTAACATAAGTTTAAGTATTATCAGAATGGGGGTTTGTGGAGATAGTATAAAGGAAGAAGTCAGAGTGTTTAGTCTGACCAAAATATATGGTATGGCGGAAACGGAAACTTATTTAATTTGATGGAGTTTTGTTCTCTGAGCTGGATGGTTTGGTCATGAAGCTTTCATGGTTATTCTGAACGACATCATCATCACAAATTTCGGGTAGAAATACTTTGTGCTGGGAATTCTATATTGTACTAAAAATATAATACTGAATAAAGCTAACAATAATAATGATAAAATCAAAATAAATCTGTTTATGTTAATGTTGTGGGTTTTCCGGTCAAAGTGTTTTGTATGAAACCACTGTGTTTGTTAGTGTGTACGATGATATGAAGAATTTCTACTTTATACAATGACAGAGTAGAGTTGAGATCTACACACATATATATCATTATTTTATTTTCAAGTAAACCAATGGATAGAAATTAATGTGGTTTATGAGAAAGTCTATACTTAACACATGCCTGAATGTTAGGTCATTTTGAAAAGAATGTACAGAGCTTAGTTGAATAGAATGATTATCCCGAAGATTTTGGGACCCGTTTATTCAAGATTTCTGCAGACATATTTCATTT